TGGGTAGGCTAAATTGTCTGTAGTGTATGAGTGTGTGTGTGAGAATGTGTGTGTGTGGGTGTTTCCCAGAGATGGGTTGCGGCTGGAAGAGCCATCTGCTGTGTAAAATATATGCTGGAATAGTTGGCGGTTCATTCCGCTGTGGCGACTCTTGATAAATAAGGGACTATAATGAATGATAATGATAACCTTGTTTCCAGCACTAGGTGGCGCCAAACAGCACTAAAATAAAAAAAGGGAGTAGGAGGCGCAGTGTGTGTGTACGTGTTTTTGTGACATATCAGGACATAAATCTGCATAATGACATGAATATGACACAGGTATTACAAAAAGCAGGTGAAATATGAGGACATTGGTTATGTTCTCGTTTCTCAAAATGCTTATAAATCCCACAGAGTGAGTTTAATCAGGGAGTAAAGCTGCACACAGTCTCCTGGGGTGGGGTGGGGTGAGGGCAATACAATATACAGTTTGGACAGTATAAAATGAATAGAAACCTATGTAATGTCCCCACTTTTCACAAAAAACAAACGTGTGTGTGTTTGTGTGTGTGTGTGTGTGTTTTACCCTCTGGACTGAGCTCTTCTTCATCATTTTGGTCTCTGGAGGGAGTCACAGATGGAGGCTCCTTATGAACAGACGTCTGATGGGGAGAGAATATAAACAACTCAAACTCCTTCATTGGCTCAAACCAAAAACAGTCCAGACAAGCCGATTCACACACTTATACAGCGTCCTAAAAACATGTACTGTTATTGTGAAGGAAATGTACATGCTTTTTGAGTGTGTATCAGAAGCTTTGGGGCGATCTGCTCTCATTAACAGACAGTTAATGACAGTCTTGTTGCTTAGTATGTGTAAACACATCTCTAGAAAACTTCACATTGATGTTGGGGTGGCATGGTGGCTCAGTGGTTAGCAATGTGGCCTAACAGCAAGAAGGTCGCTGGTTTGAGTCCCGGCTGGGTCAGTTGGGGTTTCTGTGTGGAGTTTGCTTGTTCTCTTAAAGCCTGATTTATACTTCTGCGTCAGGTGACCGGCGTAACCATCGGCGCATGCAAAGCATGTAGCTGTGCATTTATCCTTCTGCTGCTGTCTCTGTTGATCTGCATTAACACTTCCGAAACGCTAGTTGGCAGTGAGGTGTAAATGTTCCTCTGTGTCGTTTCTTCGCCTGTGTTTTGCTTTTCCTGAACACTTCCGGGATGTACAAGTGGCTCAAACTCGCTCATTTTGAGGCAGGAATGCCTTTAAGCTTCTCTCCTGACCTTGAAAATGTGATTGACTGAATCGTAGAGAAGCTGCATTAAGATCATGTGTAGAGTCGAATCGAGATCGTGATCTTTTTTTGATTAATCGTGCAGCCCTTTTAGGAACGGCGTCACAATATGAAACAAAGGTTGCTGCTTCTGGTTAATGTGAATGAACATACATGTCAGTGTAATCGCAGCTCTCTGGGATACAGATATGGCATATACTATTATTGCAATATTTTTCTATATTTTTCTCTATATTTCCGACTTACCTTGCGCTGCGTGACGGGGCTGCAGGGAGACTTTGAAGAGATCAGCGGAGGAGATTCGCCCCTCGGAGCCTCGTGAGCTGAAAAACACGACAGAAACTTTATTAAAAGAACACTTTGCTTTTATTGTTAACAGGCTCATTTTAACACTTCAGATTTACCATTGGTGAATCCATTCAGCCGATTTCCATGTCTGCCACTTTTAGCTTAGCATAGATTATTGAGTTGGATTAGACCATCAGCATCTCACTAACTAAAATTTGTGTGTTGTTGGGTCATATTCATCCACTCTGGGCGGATTTTGAGGCTTAATTTGGCCACAGTTTTCTCTCTGTTTCAGCAGACGTGATGACTTATGCTAAAAATCTCATTTTGACACATATTCTGGACAACTGCTTTGAAAATGTTTAACAATTCAACAATACTCTCAGATTGACTCAGGTTGACTTGGTGCTGTTTTTGCCCCATTATAATCACATTTACTGATTGTAAAGCCAACAGATGATCACGCACGCTTGATTGGTGCTGGTGTTCCTGTTGGGATTAGGAGGTGAACTGTACCGATTTTACTGTTGATGATGATCAGTTCCAAGGAAAAAAGCGGAGTTTCAGGCCTTTAAATGGAGTTATATGGAGTATAGTGTGTGTGTTTGTGTGTGAGAGAGATCTTTGAGCACTTGCCCTGATATGTCTGCATTGTAGTCAGATGTAGCTACATTTACATTTAGTCAAATAGCAGACGCTTTCATCCAAAGCGACTTACAAATGAGGACAAGGAACTAATTTACACAACTATAAGAGCAACAATGAAGAAGTGCTGTAGGCAAGTTTCAGGTCTGTAAAGTGTAAGAAGCAAAACATTAGTCTTTTTTTTTCTGTAGTACAGTTAGTGGTGGAGCCAGAGAGGCAATTGCAGATTAGGAAGTGAAGTGGAGACTAAATAGTTGAGTTTTTAGTGGTTTCTTGAAGACAGCGAGTGACTCTGCCGTTCTGATGCAGTTAGGGAGTTCATTCCACCAACTGGGCAGATTGAATGCGAGAGTTCGGGAAAGCGATTTCTTCCCTCTTTGGGATGGAACCACGAGGCGACGTTCATTCACAGAACGCAAGTTTCTGGAGGACACATACATCTGCAGAAGTGAGAGCAGATAAGAAGGAGCAAAGCCAGAAGTCGCTTTGTAAGCAAACATCAGAGCTTTGAATTTGATGCGAGCAGCAACTGGCAGCCAGTGCAAACGGATGAGCAGCAGAGTGACATGTGCTCTTTTAGATTCATTGAAGACCACTCATGCTGCTGCGTTCTGAAGCAGTTGAAGAGGCTTGATAGAGTTAGCTGGGAGCCCGGCTAGTAGAGAGTTGCAATAGTCCAGTCTGGAGAGAACAAGAGCTTGAACAAGGAGTTGAGCTGCATGTTCAGATAAGAAGGGTCGGATCTTTCTGATGTTATAGAGTGTGAATCTGCACGATCAAGCAGTTCTAGAGATGTGGTCAGAGAAGTTTAGTTGGTCATCAATCGTTACTCCAAGGCTTTTCACCATTCTGGATGCAGTAATGGTTGCCCCATCCATTGGGATTGAAAAGTTATGGTGTAGAGTCGGGCTGGCAGAAACTTAAAGCATTTCCGTTTTCGTGAGGTTAAGCTGACTGATTCCAGCCCAAAAACTATCCAAAACCGCCCAATCTGGCAACACTGTATGTCTGACAAATCTAAATAAACACCTCATGTCTTTATACACACACACACACACTCACACACACACACACACACACACTAACTCTTTTGTAGTTACATTGTGTACTAAGACTGACAGAAAAAGAAAAAATAGTTATTTATTAGCTGATATGACTAGAGGAACTTCACTCTCATTCTGGCGTAATAATCAAGAAACTTTGCTGGCGCACCATGGCTGCAGCAGCGCAATGATATTATTTTATTTCCTTATTTATTTATTATTTCCTTATTGTTTATTGTTTATTATTCCTTACCTAGCTAGGGACTATTTTCAGGCGTTGCATACTAACTTTGTGCATTATTGGCTAAAAAATAGCAGCTTTCATTTTTCGTCAGTCTTAGTAGTACACGATGTGTCTGAATTATCTAAAAGAAAATATCTTTATGTCTGAAAATGCTTGGTGGCCTCACAACAAGAAGGTCGCTGGTTTGAGTCTCGGCTGGGGCAGTCTGTGTTTCTGTGTGGAGTTTGCATGTTCTCCCCGTGTTGGTGTGGGTTTCCTCCGGGTGCTCTGGTTTCCCCCACAGTCCAAACACATGCGCTATAGGGGAATTGGTGAACTACATTGGCCGTAGTGTGTGAATGAGTGTGTATGGTTGTTTCCCAGTACAGGGTTGCAGCTGGAAGGGCATCTGCTGTGTAACACATATTCTGCAACAGTTGGCGGTTCATTCCGCTGTGGCAACCCCTGATTAATAAAGGAACTAAGCAGAAGGAAATAAAATGAATATTTAAAAAACAAATATAAATTTAATATTCATAAAATTGTACATTGAAAATGATCAATTTAGATGTTTAATAAGCCCCCCCCCCTCAAAAATAAACACAAATTTTATAATATTTATGCGATTATTCATTAAAATATGTACATTTTGTAAATAC